AGAAGCAGAGGGCCATCCCCTTCGCCATCTACTCGTTCTGAGTCACCTTCCGTTGCGAACAAGGAGACGAAGACCGTTAAGCTATTTTGGAAAGAAGCACAGGTTCAACCGCCGCCTGGTCTGTTAGCCAAAGAAGGCGTCTTTTGGCAGAAAGTGAAGCCCGTCGAAATCGATGTCGAAAAAATAGGCCATCTATTTGAAACTAAAACTAAAGAAGTTGTTACGAAGGTAATTACTGGTTGATTTTTGCTTTTTAATGGTATACACATGTTTAAACGTATTTATATAGATAGTGTAATACATATATACTGTATTTTATATTAGGTTATATGATACGCTGTTTTGTACTCAAAAGCGACGGACTGCATAACGATTTCATAGAGAATATTAAAGCTTAGCGCTGAGATCTGGTGTCAAGTGCCGTCGTACGGAAGCCTAGGATATTCAACCTTGATTTCAAACAAGACATTATTAGCAAATAGGCGATAGAAAGTGAACTTAAAGCCTAACGGTTGGCGACCATCAGCAAGACACCTCCAACAATTCGGTAAGAACTGGCATGGTGTTGAAAGGACTGATGCGTGAGCACGCTTCACGTGGATTCGATCCAGGTGAAATACTGATACGGCACCAGACAATACTCCTAAGGCGTCGTCTTCGATGCAATGAGATGAGAAGACGACGAAGAAAACTACGGTTTTTAGAGTAAAGTAATATACGGTTGTAGTTTGCACTACAACAATATTTTATAGCGTAGTATCCAAGAAATAAATTGTGCCAAACCCAAAAATACGGTCAAGCCGTCTTATTTAAATGACTCCACGGGCACTGGGAACGGTACAATGCCCCGCGAAGGGATGTTTGGTTGAGTTATGAAATTTTTTACTCGCGAAATGTAATAAGCCATTATTATGCAGTAAAACGTACTATTGTGCTGTAGTCTGTAGAGTACATATTGTACTAGATATATGTTACAGCGTTAGATTTTATTATCCACATAACATGCAATGTAGAGTATACTGTTCAATTATGCAGTTTAATATATGCCGTATCAGTATTACTGTAAGACCGAGTTACACATCGCATTCTTTATGATGTTAGGATACGGTATAGAATGTACTATGACATAATGGTGACAAGGTTTGTCTTACAGATACAGTTACAGTACCATATCGATTACGCAGTAAGTAGTTCGCAATGCACCTTTGCGTTACAATTGTTAAAATGCAGTTATCTTTATGCTTTGTTAATGAGTTTTAATCAAATGCGAGCAAAAAGGGCGATGCCCGCTTTGGTGAAGCTTAATGTATAGGCAGTTTTATTTACTACGTCATATCTGTTTTAGAAGAAAGACGACAAGAAATCAGAACTGATCCTTTTGGATACAAAGCGGTCAAATGCGATCAACATCGGTCTGACAAAACTGCCGCCTCCGAGAGCCATACGGACGGCCATAGTTAAGTTTGACTCCTCCATTCTGAACAAGGAAAGTATCGAAAAGATCTTGACGACGATGCTGCCGACCGAAGAAGAGAAGGAGCGGATAACCAATGCGCAGTTGGCCAGTCCAGACATCCCGCTGGGTAACGCCGAGCAGTTCCTGATGATGTTGTCCGAAATACCTCAGTTGTACGCCCGGTTACGGCTGTGGTTGTTCATGCTTGACTATGCCAACATCGAGTCTGAGGTAGCCGAACCTCTGATGGACCTGAAGCTGGCCATGGAAGAGCTGGACAACAGCAAGACATTCAAGTACGTGATGGCAACGCTGTTAGCCGTCGGAAACTACCTGAACGGAGCCGAGGTATGCGTTTCGCTCACACTGTTTGACAATCAGTGGTTGCCGTCGATTTAGGTAAAAGGCTTCCAGTTAGACTACTTGGCGAAGGTTCCCGAAGTAAAGGACACGCTTCACAAGCATTCTCTGGTCTACCATCTGTCGACGATCGTCATGGACAAGTTTCCGGACTCGACCGATTTGTATTCGGAGCTGGGCGCCGTCGCCAGGTCGGCTAAGGTCGACTTCGAGGAGATCCAGAACAACCTGGAGAAGATGGAGAAGGACTGCAAAGCATCGTGGGACTATTTACGCATGATCGCAAAGCACGAATCTCACACTGTGCGAGAAAAGATCTCTTCGTTCCTCACCGACTGTGCCCAGCGTATTATGACCCTTAAGGTCATCCACAAACGAGTAATCAATCGGTACGTACCGTCTAACGTTTTTCTTAAAAGCTAGTCTTTCTTCAACCTGTTGCGCCGTCAGTGCGTTATTACGATTATGACGCATTTTTTTATATACAGACGCACCCTCTATAGTGCTAACGTACAAAGAGAACAGGAAATCAATCACGACCAGGCGTAGAAAGTATAGGACGTGAATTGGAGCAAAGGAAAGAAGCGTAACCGTCTACCATTACATTGGACTCTAGGGAAAATTCATGCTGTGTTCAAGTGTCCCTACTGTCAAATTTGCTCGAATTATACGGCAAATCCTGCCTAATTCAAATTTTCCTTTAAATTTAGGAATATCCAGGTTTCAAACAAGATAAACGTGAGTAAATCTCGATAGTCAAAAACAGAACATAATTCATTCGGATGCTTGCAATATCTGTACATTTTGTTGTGAATAATCCACAGTGAGGTTTGTAAATAAAAAAGTACAATACTAGAGAGCTACGTCGTAAAATAGGGTATAGGCAGGATCGTTTACGCGGAAACAAAGATTCTGGAAGCAGTCAGATGGAACGGCCAAAGGCTCCATTAGTAGACAGTAACAGCTTTATAAAATCAATTACAGAATAGCATTCTGAGCCTTAAGCAAACGATTAGCCTTACCAATAATCCAGTAAAACCGCCGTATTGCCGGCTTGGGATACAGCGTAAATTAGTTTTACTCCTGCACTAATATACTTTTGTCTACACGGGTATAAAGAAATTGCCATTCTGGACATCCGCATATTTATTTTTTAAATAAGAGCCTATGCACTTGTCGCTGTACGTTTTTTAGGTTTCATCGATATGCTGTATTCATCATTTGTCACCTGTCAAATTTGAGCTTGCTTACACACAAATTTCTGCATACTTTCTCCACCAACACAACTGTGTATAGATGATAAGTTGTGGTGAGCCATGTTCAGTTACTGTAGTGGATTCGATCGGTTTTCCGTCGTCAGGTGATGGACAATTAATGTTAATTAATGATGGGCCACTTACAGGCTCATCACTAGCTAAGGCTTGTTGATGACTAATTTTAGACTCTTCAACCAATAACTCAGGGATGTGCTGTTCGATATGAGAGAGAGGTCCATTCGTGTCGATTAACATGTAACGGTGTAATAGTTGAGGATTATGCACATTGGTGAGTCTTATACCCACTGCTGAATAGATCGGTTTTGTTTCAGGTTCAGAAAGTTCTTGTTTTACATGGGCATGCCGCCGAAGGCGATTAAGGACACGAAGATCAACAGCATCTGCAAGACGATCAGCGAGTTTGCGCTGGAGTACCGGACGAGTCGCGACAAGATCATGCAGCAGAACAAGCGTATGCAAGAGAAACGTGAACGCAACAAGACGCGCGGTAAACTCATCACCGACACCAAGCAGTTCAACACGATCGCCAAAGGCCCGTCGTCGGCCGGTCGCAAGGAAGAGAACAGCGAGTACGAGCTGAACAAATTGCTAGACTCGAGGATGGACGGCGAATCGTGGAATCACACGTTTCCGAAGTTGCGTTCGCGGA